TAGCCTTCATTACACACAATATGGAAAAAATATGCTAACTGAAACAGTTGCGATTTGTCCGTATTGGCGTATACGACGTACATTCTGTATGATTGTGAATTTACAACGTGTTTGGTCTTTTATATGTGCATTCTTTCATGCGGATGCTATTTATAGTGCGTACAGAAATCGTGACTAAATAACTCATTAACAAAATATATCACGTTGCACTTAGCATGTGACCAAGTACACGTTTTATTGAGTTGTACGCTGCTCAACAAAATGGATTTCAAGATTGCGCTAAAACACACGCTGATTTTTGACGAGTTAATGAAATATTTTGTATCTGTTTATTTTTATGATTCAACTAAAGTTTATATAATCATTAGTACTCTGTTATCGGATAAAAATTTGCCATCAATAAGTGTCAAAAAGACACAATTTTAGCTTTTTTGATAAATGTTAGTAAGTCAGCTTTCACTTTCCATTCTGCACATACATGTGTGCAGTCTTTATTTTAGGTTTTGGTGTGGTTCCCACAGGGACAGGATCCGTCGTTCATGCTTGTGGTGCATCGGGAAAGTTGTAGCTTTAAGTTTCGACTCAGGATCCAAAAACAAAAATCCATCGTCGTACTTTAAGAAGACTAGACAATAAACTTAGATGTGTAAAAGTTTAATTTAATTTAATTCTTATCATCTTTATTTACAATGCTATTTACAAGAGTTTACTGAATATATTCAATTTGTGCAAGACCTTTCTGAAAATTTTTCAAACAGTTTTATCAATGGTGAATATATTGGCAATATAAATATATTATTGTCTAGCAACATATTATCTCTTGGTTTGCAATAGGCTGAAATTTTCACAAAATCCGTCAAATTGCGAAGTTTTAAATCGTACAGCTTTCGATTACAACTCATAGTTCAACAGGACAATGTCAATAAACCTTTCAACTGATTTATTCGTAGTTAATTCTTTGGGTAAACTTCCACTTCTCGTCCAGTTTTCATTAATATTACCAATATTTTCTGTAATTTCTTTCACGAAATAGATTATTTTAGGAAGGCGGTATAGACTTTCTTCTCAAATCTGTTAAAGCCGTCAGAAGTGGCACTATAAGAAATCTATTATGAACTTCCACTCCAGTGGATTTTAATAAACCGCAACAGCTGTGTCTACTTGAATGTCAGGTTCACCCAATTATGGACAATTAATCTAAAACTTAATGGAAACAGGGGTGAAAATGAGTAAACAAAAAGCAGAGGAAATTGATCTTTGTTGGGACGTTGATGAAAATGTTCAATAATAGATTCTACTTGGAATTAGTTGGTCAGAGCCAGAGTTCTGATGAATTTTCTGTAATATTCTTTAGAATTTGTTACTGTATATTTAATTCATTCTGACTTAATAGAATAAGCCATCGTCGTTTTCTGACGAAGGCTTTGACATTTTTTCTTGTGGCAAAAAAGCAGTTACGACCCTAGAAAGAGAATTCTGGAATACATACATACATACATACATACATACATACATACATACATACATACATACATACATGCATGCATGCATGCATGCATGCATGCATGCATGCATGCATGCATGCATGCATGCATGCATGCATACATACATACATACATACATACATACATACATACATACATACATACATACATACACACACACACACACACACACACACACACACACACACATACATACATACATACATACATACATACATACATACATACATACATACATACATACATACATACATACATACATACATACATATTTGCAAAACTTGGTTATGTTGTTGATGCGTGCAGACAAGGAGATGGGTGCTGTACCATGCAGAGATTCCAGTTCTTTTCTCTGTAGGGGACAAATTAATTATATATATATATATATATATATATATATATATATATATATATATATATATATATATATATATATATATATATATATATATATATATATATATAATTTCATTTAATTTTATCACGCACCACATTGTACAATAGCATTCTAACGTAGTATAAAAAATATGAAATGGGTAGACCTATATTTGTACTTACATGAATATGAAAGGTAGATCCATATTTGTACCTAGATAAATATCATCATTCTGTTAATGAAAGGTAGATCTATATTTGTACTTAGATAAATATCATCAATTATGTTAATGAAAGGTATATCTATATCTGTACCTAGATAAACATCATCAATTATGTAAACGAAAGGTAGATCTATATTTGTACCTAGATAAATGTCATCAATTATGTTAATGAAAGGTATATTTATATTTGTACCTAGATAAATGTCATCAATTATGTTAATGAAAGGTAGAACTATATTTGTACCTAGATAAATGTCATCAATTATGTTAATGAAAGGTAGATCTATATTTGTACCTAGATAAATATCATCAATTATGTTAATGAAAGGTAGATCTATATTTGTACCTAGATAAATGTCATCAATTATGTTAATGAAAGGTAGATCTATATTTGTACCTAGATACATATCATCAGTTATGTTAATGAAAGGTACATCTTTATTTGTGCCTAGATACATATCATCAATTATGTTAATGAAAGGATGATCTATATTTGTACCTAGATAAATATCATCAGTTACATTATTGATAACGATTGTAAGTTTAATGGCACGATTATGACAGCTTTACTTTATAGTTTTACATACATACTTTGTACAGTTGGTTGCTTTTACCAGAAGTGTCATTTCGTAAATGATGCAACAGATAATGATAAGCAACAAAAATTTTGAAGTGTTTCAAACAAAGCTCTTTTTTTTTCTTCTACTTCTTGGTTCATGCGAAACACCAAGCAATTAATTTTAGTTGTTTGATACTGTGCTGAACAGGAATGTACTTGGCTTGGCCAACAGCTTCTCTGCAATCTGCGATTTGGAACTATTCCGTTTCTTCCGACAATTCATCCTGTAATGTAATTAATCTGTTCATTCCATCTTCTATTCAAACTGTTCATTTTTTATTTATTCAATTGCCAAAAGTTTGAATGCATTTCTGTACTAAATTATCGTCTGCTTTAGCAAGACTTTCCTAAACATTTTATTGCCATTCAAATTATTGGATACTTTCTTTTTATCTTTGATTGTGTAATTGCAGGCATTGACTTTGCTGCCTCGTGTAATTCAGGCATTGACTTTACTTCTTTGTTTGACTGCAGACATATACTTTAATGTTTAGTGTAATTCCGGGCATAGATTTTACTGCTTTGTGTAATTATAGGCATATACTTTACTGGTTTGTGTAATTCAGGGCATATGCTTTACCTTTTCGTGTAATTCCCGGCATAGACTTTACTGTTTTGTGTAATTCTGTGCATAGACTTTACTGCTTTGTGTAATTCCGGGCATATACTTTACTGCTTTGTGTAAATACGGGCATATACATTGCTACTTTGTGTGATTACAGGCACAAATTTACTGCTTTGTGTGATTACAGACATATGTTTACTGCTTTGTGTGATTACAGGCACAAATTTACTGCTTTGTGTGATTACAGACATATGTTTACTGCTTTGTGTGATTACAGGCATAAGTTTACTGCTTTGTGTGATTACAGGCACAGATTTACTGCTTTGTGTGATTACAGGCACAGATTTACTTCTTTGTGTGATTACAGACACAGATTTACTGCTTTGTGTGATTACAGGCATAAGTTTACTGCTTTGTGTGATTACAGGCACAGATTTACTGCTTTGTGTGATTACAGGCACAGGTTTACTTCTTTGTGTGATTACAGGCATAAGTTTACTGCTTTGTGTGATTACAGACACAGATTTACTGCTTTGTGTGATTACAGGCACAGGTTTACTTCTTTGTGTGATTACAGGCACAAGTTTACTGCTTCGTGTGATTACAGGCACAGATTTACTGCTTTGTGTGATTACAGGCACAGATTTACTGCTTTGTGTGATTACAGGCACAGATTTACTGCTTTGTGTGATTACAGACACAGGTTTACTGCTTTGTGTGATTACAGGCACAGATTTACTGCTTTGTGTGATTACAGGCACAGGTTTACTTCTTTGTGTGATTACAGGCACAAGTTTACTGCTTCGTGTGATTACAGGCACAGATTTACTGCTTTGTGTGATTACAGGCACAGATTTACTGCTTTGTGTGATTACAGACACAGGTTTACTGCTTTGTGTGATTACAGGCACAGATTTACTGCTTTGTGTGATTACAGGCACAGGTTTACTGCTTTGTGTGATTAAAGACACAGGTTTACTGCTTTGTGTGATTACAGGCACATATTTACTGCTTTGTGTGATTACAGGCACAGGTTTACTGCTTTGTGTGATTACAGGCACAGATTTACTGCTTTGTGTGATTACAGGCACAGATTTACTGCTTTGTGTGATTACAGGCACAGATTTACTGCTTTGTGTGATTACAGGCACAGATTTACTGCTTTGTGTGATTACAGGCACAAGTTTACTGCTTTGTGTGATTACAGGCACAGGTTTACTGCTTTGTGTGATTACAGGCACAGGTTTACTGCTTTGTGTGATTACAGGCACAAGTTTACTGCTTTGTGTGATTACAGGCACAAGTTTACTGCTTTGTGTGATTACAGGCACAGATTTACTGCTTTGTGTGATTACAGGCACAGGTTTACTGCTTTGTGTGATTACAGGCACAGGTTTACTGCTTTGTGTGATTACAGGCATAAGTTTACTGCTTTGTGTGATTACAGGCACAGGTTTACTGCTTTGTGTGATTACAGGCACAGATTTACTGCTTTGTGTGATTACAGGCACAGGTTTACTGCTTTGTGTGATTACAGGCACAGGTTTACTGCTTTGTGTGATTACAGGCACAGATTTACTGCTTTGTGTTATTACAGACACAGATTTACTGCTTTGTGTTATTACATGCATATGTATGACTGCGTGATGTACATTGAAAAGTTAGTATGCTTGTTTGTAGCATGTTCAAGATGATTCCACATATCATACACCGCTCCGATGGCCTAGTAGTTAGAGCCCCCGCCTCGAATGCGAAAGGTAATGGGTTCGATCCCCGGTCGGGTCATACTAAAGACTTACAAAAATGTTAAGCTAGATAAATATAATCAATGGACAAAAGTATACGTGGAAATAGTACATCAATGGTTCTATTCACAAGATATATTATCAGAACACAAAATATTATGCTGTACTGAAGCCAAGAGAGTATTCATTATGTCCAAAAGTTTCGTCTCAAAATGCAAAAATTATCACTGTCAGTTAAGGTTATACTCCATAGCTTTTTCATAATGCTGCTTACTTGCTCATACATGAACTGTATGGTGTTAAATGTTTATGGTGAAAACTAACCTATACTAATATTTTAATATGCACTCTGTGCCAAAATGTCTCGCATAATACACGCATGTAGCATGAGACGCACGTGTAGCACCTCAAACTCAAGTTACATGCTGCAGATCGCGGGTTCGAACCCCGGCTGAGTCATACCGAAGAACTTTAAAAATGGAACTTGTAGCTGCCTCGCTAGGCGCTCAGCATTAAGAGGTTAGTGTTAGGACTGGTCAGATTGGTGTCACGATACTGTGACTGGGTGGGTTAGCATGCTACATGTCTGCAGCATGATGCCCCAGTGCTAGACATCACTATAAACTGTCACATTACAGTCATCGTAGGGATAAGACTTAAAAATTGTTAAAGCTATGTTTTTCAAATTTTAAACTTCAATGTAATTAGCTTGGACATGTGTCATACTCACGCACTATTCCTACATAGCTTCTTTCGTATCAGACACTTGCAAAGACAGCACAGCATGTGCGCTTGATTTTAATTTGCCTTGCGTGTGTCATCTGCATTAGTTTTACATATAAACGTTGACATCTACATATGTGACGCATGCATGCAGCTTAACAGTTTTTATAGTATTTATAGATTCTGTAAAGTAGGAATATTTCTGCATCCGTTTCAATCCAGCTGTAGAACAAGCAAAACTGTTTGACAGCGAAATTCGGTAATGTTTGCCCAGAGCCTGTTCTAACAAAAGAATAGCCCCACTACTACATTATTTGGGTATTTAATTACCTGAATTTGCCTTTCTGAATTAAAATGTTTGTAAAACCTGACTAGCTAAGAATTTTTATAATATCTCAAAAGTTCAATGCATATTTGCTATTTAAGCAAGGCAATGCTCTGAGCGCATAATTTTGCATTGGATGTTTCATTTTTATATACTGTGATTTTCAGCGTCTCACGTGCGTTCAGTTTGGGGATAGCCGGATGCATAAATGTGGAATATTTTCAACGCGTTTGAGGTATAAACAACGCCACCGACCAGTGTCAATCAATTATGTAAGTCGTCACAAACTCATCTCCAGGGTCCAACCTTGTAGCTCTCACCCATGTGTTATACATTTTTGGAGATCAAAAGGAAGCTCACAGGGTAAACAAGGCGTGTTCTACCCGCTATGTAGAAAGACAAACGAGAACCACTGACAGCTCAGGTGGCGCTCACCAGTTATTATGTACTTTTGAGAGAGTGATGTATGTAAGGTGAAGTTCTTTGCATTTCAAACATGCACAGTGGAGAGAATGTTGGCATACCTATATGCTACTTTTATGTGATGTGGCTGACATTTCTTTGGATATTGTACTTTTGGAAATTGTAAATGATCTTAGCACAAAGCTAACTAAAATGACTGTTCCCTTGTGCTCCAAAAATAAACCTGAATTTGTCTAAAGTACACTATCCTTGGCAGCTATAAAATAGCGAAAATTAATTTTGCCAGATTAGACAATGCCAGCTTCTGAAAGTGCAATGAATGAATTACCAAATATATCAAATATAAAAAAGTTATCAGCTCTCTTTTTTACATTGTACCTCTGAAGTTCGGGAAGTGAAAATGAGCAAGTGGAGCTAGCACTTTTTTGAAAGATGCACATCTGGTGTAAGGCCATGCTGTATAGTCTCTAACCCATATTGCACCCACCAATTATACACCAAAATAAAGTGAATCAAAGGTTTTGTGAACAATACTTAAGATATGCAAAGTCTTTGTTTAAATAGCCAGTATAACTAGTGAGGAAACCCGGGGTAATGCTTTTTCTTTACAATTAAATCCAAGTGCTAAATACGAAACTCTAGAGCGCCACCTCAGTTGATTGATTGAGAGAGAGAGAGAGAGAGAGAGAGAGAGAGAGAGAGAGAGAGAGAGAGAGAGAGAGAGAGAGAGAGAGAGAGAGAGAGAGAGAGACTGACTGTCGGTAAAGTCAGAGTGGGCAAATTGGAGTCGACGGAGATAAAAGAGGGAACTAGAAGAAGAGGAACGTATTCTGAAAGGAGCGAAAAGAGAAGGAGTAGGAGATGAAACTTAGAGGGAATTATGGGAGACGAAGAGGAATCAGGAGATGAGTAAAAACCAAGGACAAGGGGACAACTCTCACACTGCACACTGTTAACATATGATGAGATAGGCTCGGAGGTTCGAGCGAAAGAGGCGCATTTGAGAAATTCGAGCGATTGACTATTATTTGTTAATTAAACTGTTATTATTGACTTTCACTCTTTCTACCTTTTATCATTTTAACCGTCGGCATTGCTGACTGGGGGCTCAAAGCTGTGCACCAAACATCTTCTGCCATAATCTAAATAAATACTGGAAGCACCCAACCCGAATTCCTTACAACCAAAACCATACAGATGGTGGAGAACAAACTTTCCTCACAGTGTGAAATAGTCATTTTTATAGAGGCTGTAAACAAGGTAATGGCAAACAGAAATTTTTTTTAAAAAAAAACCGTTCTAAATTCTTTAGATCTTGCTTCTGTATGTAATTTGAATCAATTCACGTGACATATAAATTCAGTTTAATGAAGAAAATCACTATTGAAGTATTTATATATAATACAACTTTTATATATAATACAACTACCAGAACACAAGTTCTGGAGAACATAGCTTTAGTGATTATGCTATGCATAGGATGTGAGACCATGCAACACATAATCAATTAACCCCGTCATTAAAAACATTATATATAATACGATAACATTATCTGATAGGGATAACCTAAAATTGTTTGGGTATACGAAACAAGTGAGAGTGTAAAATACTTTCTATATACCGATTTGCTGTAGATTTTAAAAGTAGAGGTCATGGAGGAGTGTAGTGAATACGTATCAACCACGCCTATTTCAGAGCTTCAATCTTTCGATGGCCTACCAAGCTTTATTCTATAAACATATATGAAATTCTTTAGGCGAATCATTGTTAAAACTAAAATGGAAAATATCGAACATGAATTATAGTTAAAAGGTAGAAAATAAATAAAATATATTAACCAGTTCATTGCTGAAGAGGCAAATAAGATATTTAGTTCAAAACCAATATATCAGATAACATGATACTTCACAAAACATTAGTTGGATATCTAAAACAATTCAAATTAATATAAAACAAATGAAAATTGTATTTAATATTTTTCTTTCCCCCGGTGCAAATTTTTGTATTTACATTTATTTTTTTTCTGTGACTTATATACTTGTTTTTCGTTCATTGTAGTATTAATGTGATTTGTGATGCTTGGTTACTGTATATATGGGATAAAAATGCAAACGTTGCTGATAAACCCGGTGTTATGATTTGTTCAACCTATGCAATAATACTGATTTTGGAAATTTGTTTTCTAGCATGATTTGGGTATTTTTGTGTCAGATCAACTAAAAGAAATAGCAGCTACTTTACATTGAGATTAATATATGATATGCGTGAATGCAAATAATGAACCAAGATTAAAAGATGTACCAGAACTCGCAAACGATACGCTACTTTTTTTCTAATGGACAATAACGTGTATATGTTGTACACAGTGTGCCATACTCAGACATGTTCATCCAATCTTTAGGTTATTTCATTCGTATACCTCTTACTGTACATATCCTAGCTGAAAGTTTCCAAAATTGAGGTTAATATTTGATCATGATACTTGGAAGTACATACTGATTGATGGCTTTGGTCATTTCATATATCCTTGTTTTCATAGGTCGAGATGGAAATCTTTTTAGTCAAGTGAAATACAATTTTAGTTTACTTCAGTGAACAAAAATTGCAGTTAGGTGAAAGAAATTTCACTTATCTGTACATAATTTGTACTTAATTGAAAAAGTGTTTTAATTAAGTCACAAAGAATTTCAGTTAAGTATAAAAGAATTAACTTAAACAAAAAACATTTCTCTTAAGCAAAAATAGGATTATTCCAGAGCAGTATAAATTCTTTAATACTTGACTTCAATGGTTTTCCACTAATGTAAAAATAAAGCAAAATATGTTAATGCTGTATGCAATAAAAGGACATGTTTGTCAACTTCATGTTCAAATGTGAAATTTGTTTTGAATTTATGATTGAATAATTACTCATATTCTTGTTATAAAAATTAAAGTTTGATGAAATCACACAACACCTTTTAGAACCGTTTTTGAACGCTTAACAGTTTAATAATATGTGCAACTGTAAATTGTTACATCTGCAGTTAATTTTAGTTCTATGCAAGAGACGTTGCACACAAGAGATACCACGCTCAAGTAATTAATCTATCAACGTTAATTTATTGTATATACTGATAGAGTAATTATTCTATCAACATTAATTTATTGTATATACTGATAGAGTATTTAACCTATCAACATTAATTTATTGTATATATTTATAGTGTAATTAATCTATAAACATTAATTTATTGTATATACTGATATAGTAATTAATCCATCAACATTAATTTATTGTATATACAGCTGGAGTAATTATATCAACTTTGTTTTTGCATGTTTAACTATAGTAATTTATCTATCAATAGTAATTTGTTATATATAAAATTAGGATTATTAATCATTCGAGAATAATTTAATGTATATACAACCAGAACTAATAATCCATCGAGAATATCTTAATGTATATAAAACCAGAACTGTTTATTAATCGAGAAAAAATATTTGTATATTCAAAAGAGTTATTAATAAGTCGAGATAAGTTTTTTATATACTCAGCAAAGGTTGGGTAATTGTCTACAGTCAAA